GAAAATGAATCATTTTGGCTATAATTGGTGAAAAATGCTTTGAAGTGATTAAATGAGGTTTTTATCACTTTTTACTTGGATTTTGTGCATTTTTGACAGTTTTGACACATTTTCGTATTTCGGCTATAACTTGAGTTACAGTGATCGAATTGAGATGATTCTTAAACCAATTTGAAGATAAGAGATAGATTTACAACTTTGGTGAAGACATCTGAATCCAGTTTGAAGGTTTTCCAAGTCAAAAAGCCGAATTACAATAGCTAATTTCTACTAGTCGAAGCTGGAACAAGGCAATGAGCAGGCAAGGGTATTTCAGTCATTTCTCAGCGTACACAGATCCAAATAAGGTGATTTTTGATGCATTGGAAAGCTAACTCAAAGGGCTACAAGTTTTATGTTTTGGTCAAGAGCTAAATCAGCTTTTATCATCAAGAAAAGTTCAGTTGAAATTGAGTCAAAATCGAAGCAGAGCTGGAAATTGAGCAGGAAGTGACCAAATAGTCACTGTAGCAATCCGGCCGGATTTCTGGCCGGATTGTGGTCAGAAAAGGCTGCTCTGTACGCGGAAAACTCAATTTCACTCCCACCAATTCACATGCGTTGCTAGACATGTGAGAAACATTCCCAACTGTAAAAGGAAGGTGGAGGCCTCATTTCTTGACCAATTTTCATCATTAAATAGCCAAATTCATTGCAAGAGAAGAGATTGGAGACCATAGAAGAAGAATAGAAAGAGACATACGGGAGAAGCTTGAAGTTGCAGAAATATAGCTCTTTCATCTCCCTAGTGTTAGTTTAGCTTAGTATAGAGTAGTATAGTTCGTCCATTCTTGTTTATTATCTAGATTAGGATGAAGATGGAGGATGAAGAAGGCAAGGAAGAAAGCTCATGTGACAAGGGTTGTATTCCTTCCAAACTCTTTATCTTTTGTATTTGATTCCAAGTTTGGTTAATATACAAGATATGAATTTTGTGTTCAATACGTGTCTTTAAAGTTTATACCTTGGGTTTGGTTGAACTATCTATGATTGTTAGTGTTAATTGTTTGGTTATTTGATTGCTATGATTTGAGCAAGTTATTTAGCACTTTAACTCTTTAAATCATGATTAATCTGGTACCATTAATTGTGATTATCTAAGGTGTTGTTTCTGCAATAAAAATTGAGATTTAACACTGGTTCAAGAAGTGCTAAACATAGGGAGTACACTCATAAGAGTAGAGGTGCACCTATGTAGTTTTAGTGATTAATTTCATGCAATTTCACTGAAGAAATGAACTTGTAGCTAATTTCATAACCATGAGAATAGGTATGGATTAGTTATGAGTACAGTTGATTCACTACGAAAGTAGGTTTCACATGTTTAAGGAAATTACACCATAACTAGCCTAGATGTAGTATTCAATTATCCAAAAATGGCACTTGCATAAGTAGTTAGGGATACCACAACCTAAGGAGCTTTCATTTGTTATTTTCTTGTATACGTTCAGTAGGTTTTAATTTGTTATAATTCATTAATAGTCTAAATAATAGAGAATTTTTAGTAGTACTGGTAATTGCAATCTTCCTTGTGAGATCGACCCTTAATACCCTATACTCGCTTGCGATTCGTATACTTACGATAAATCGCGTGTGGGGTATTTAGGAGTTTATAAATGTAAAACTTGATTAGGATGAACTTAATTGTATATGTATACCCTGCGCACGTCACTAAGACTTACTCTAATCGTGGAAACCAAAACCCCCGAACTTTTGGAAGCCATATAGCCGATCCAAGAGATCAGGACATACCAGAAAATTCACAACCTTATGGAGAGGTCATAGCTCGAAGGGCCGAGTTTGTGGTCTCTAGTCTAGGGTTTTTTGAAGAGATTGTTAGGCATATGAAAGGTAAGGATAGAGGTGAATCTTCTCGAAGATAGCCCGAAGAGTCTTCTTTGTCTTCTTTCGAGGGTGACTCGGATGACCATCACTCCAAGAGAAAGAAGCAAAAGGACCTTTCTAAATTGAAAGGCAAAGTGCATTCTAAAGTTTCCTCAGTTTTCGAGAGCACTGCTCAAGAACCCGTTCAAGAGGAAGGACACAAGTGAATGGTCTAGATACGGATCGGCCCTTTACGGAGATAACATGGTCTTTTCACCCCTAACATTAACGAAGAAGTTTTTCCAGCGAACTTCAAATTCCCAAATGTTCCATTCTATGATGGAAAAGGTGATCATGAAGACCAAGTTGATGCCTTCTTATCGGCATTCAGATTGTATGGGATCTCCAACGCAGTGATGTGTCGGGCGCTTCATCATTTTGTTAAGACTTAATAGTTGAGCAATTTAATGGCTAGTCTTCTCATGCATGGTATGCACCGATCTTTAGAATCAGCATAGTATGCAGGGTCAACCGCCATCCCCAAGTTTTTGAGAATTTTCTTTTAGCTCCTAGGAAATTTTAGAAAATTTCATTAAAAATCCTTCTCTTGCACCCGTAGATTATTAGTTTTGAGTGTAATTCTATGATTATGGCTTGTATGTTTTTTTTTTCTCTTCTAACGCTTAGCTATTCAATCTTGATATCTGATTATAGCTCAAAATTTTTTTATCATTGCCTTCTTTTAACAAAAAAATAATAGTAAATTTAGTGACATGAACACAACAATGAAGCTGCGTATTCATTACTGAATCGAAATATGCATTAGTTATTTATTAATAGGGTTATTATCACTTTACCTCTTAACATTCGGTGTCACTATCAGTTTCTCCTTTAACGTTACTTTTTAGTCACTTTACTCTCAAGACTAATGGTCAAACTTAACGAACTTTATTAATTAAAGTGAAAAGATACGTTTAACCCTTAAAATTATTATCACTTTATCCTCATAAACTATAGCCTCATTATCAATTTATCCCCTACAGTTATTTTTAGCCAATTTATCGCACTATTAAATCAACTTAGCCAATTAAAGAACTCTAGAAGAAAGTACTATTTTCTTTGTATAATAAAAATAATAAAAAATTTAGAATAACTCTTCTCCTTTTTAGTATTAAGAAAAAAAATCAAATTGTTAATCTCTTTCTTCTTAGTAATCTTATTAATATTGAAAATAAAAGAAAGATGTGGAGGAGAAGGGGAAGGGGGAGAGAGAAAGAGCTCAATTCTTTTTTAAAAAATACAAATAAGAATAAATTAAATACTTTTATTATTTTAAAATTATTTTATTTTTCTGTTTACCACCAAATTTCAATCCTAATCCCGACAACCTTAAAGTAATACGATAATATTAGACTCTTCTTTATTTACTTTCTTTGCAAAATCTAATTTTCTATCTCCTTCTTTCCTATCTCCTTTTCTTTTCCTAGCATTAGTAAGTGTGAAAAAAGAAATTTGAGAAATTCTTTTATTTTTATGTTTTTGGATCCCTTAAAGTGAAAAAAATGAAGAATAACCTTTCCAACTTTTTCATTTTTAATTATATATAAAAAGGGTAAATATATTTTAAAAATTTTGACCATACTAGTTAGATTAACGATGAGATAAAATGCTTAGAAAATAATGTTAGGAATTAAAGTGATCGTATCACTATAATTTCAAGGGATAAAGTGGTAATAACAATGTGATAATGCTATAGAATAAAGAGGTATTTTCGTCTAAAATTTTTTAACATATTGAGTTGAATTACTTATGAACGTGAAATGACTAAAAGATAATATTATGGGGTAAATTGATAGTAGTGATATAGTTTAAGAGAGTAAAGTGATAATAACCCATATTAATATGACTACTCATTTCTCTATTCTTCTCATTCCTACAATCTTAAAGGCAAAAAGTTGAATATTCTCTAATCTCAAACTCTGAAAAGCAATCATATTTGATCAGGGTGTAAATTGAAAATACCCATATACATACTATTGCTAAGATGTGTGATATTTGCACTCTTATATTAGCCTCTCATTTTGAAATTCACTTACTGAATAAAAGGCCATCTATGAGTGTGAGTGGCAAATTTGGGAGTGGAAATATCACTTTTTTGTGTCTAATTAGATGCATGTATTGGTTTTATATGTTTGAGGAGAAAACTTTTGAATATATACAAAATTAATTATTAGTTTCAACTTCACATATAAAAGATCACATGTATTTAGGACCAAGTACATAAATTTGAATTTGGCAGATAAAAAAATTGAAATAATTAATTAGTTGAATAGATCACATGTATTTAGTTTTGAAAAAAAATTTCTTGGCATAGTAAATAGAATTTGGAATAAATCAACATGTAATGCTAATGCAATTAATAACAAGTTGAACTTCACAGATTAACAACAAAATAGCAAGGTCAAAAATATTTAAAGAGGAAAAGTTTAAATTTTTCATAAAACAAAAGTTAGGTGTAGGGTGACAATGCAATTTCATTTAATCTTATGGGGCATAATAAAGATCTTCAATGAAAATTTTTGGAATTTCATAGGGACTAAAAACAATAAAAAACTTGGCTGTCCCCGTAGCTTCCCGCCGCCCATGAAAAATTGGCCACATGCATGGTTTATTGCCCCACTCAAAACGAATGATTGGCATTCTGAAAGATTATTTTGCTGATGTCCATGAAAAGAATTATGTGACATCCTATAAAACTGATAGGGACAAATATTCAAAGAATTTATTGTAATTATTATTATTAGAATAGGAAAGAAGAATCTCTTATCCATTGGTCCCCTCCCCTTTGTCTGCATTGAACAATGTTCTGTGGTATAAGCAGGAATGATTGTACAATCTAAACTAGTAAAGCTAAAAATCAACCAAACAACTGAACCACTAACACTACTTAAAAATGAAACCAGGCACCTTTACATCTTTGTAATATTTTTTTTTTTTTGTGAAGAAGTCAATTGACTTTTATTGACTAAACAAACCTAATCCCCAGAGCATACTCCAAAAGCCGGCAACTCTTGGAGCAGCCCCAGGAGACTTATCTACCCAACAAAATCTTTGTAATATTAGATTGACATATATAATTTGATATCAAAGTAGAGAACAAACTAAACAAGGATTTATTTAATTATGGCAACATAATGGATAGAACTCCCAAGCTGCAGAAGACATACGTAAAAACATCAGAGCAACAAATATAGATCACTACTTGGGAGGCGTTAACAAGTTTCTGTACTATATTTAGTGCTTCGGAACCCAGACAATGTGATCCTCAGGAAGGAAATGGCAGATTGGAACAGTTCCTGGCTTCACCTTCAGCAGCTGAAAAGCCAAATGCTTTGGGTTCCATGCATGGTTCAAAGTCGTGGTCGCGGTCACGGTCGCGGCCCGGAACGTTCCACATCGGTCTCGACATATCGGTCGCGGTCTCGGTGAGACGCAAATTTTAAAATATTTAATATTCTAAAAATTATTAATAATATAAAAAAAGTATGCTAAACAAAAATAATAAAAAATAGCAAAAGAATTGGCCGAGTCAATCCGTCACGGTGTAACTCGGCCGATTTCTCGTCTTAACTTGGGATAACTCGGAGTGACTCGGTGTGACTCGGCCGAGTCAATCCGTCGCAGTGACGTCTCGGCCGATTTCTCGGCGAGTCAAGTATCTCGGTATCGTTTCGTCACGGTATCGTATCGGTAGGGGCCGAGACGGTGACGACTCGGCCGAGTCGTCTCGGTCTCGGCCGAGACTTCGAACCATGGTTCCATGCTGATGTATCCCGGTGACAAACAGCTACAGCCTTGACTTTTGCTCCATCGGCACCAACTAAATTAACCATATATGCATCTGTATCCTGTGTGGTGTGGCAGTAGAAAACTGCGTAGAAATAGTTTTGCCTGTGGCAAGAAACTATTTCTTTATCGTCGTTGTTCAACTTGGAAACAGACACAATACCATATTTCTGGACTTTTGCATCTGTTTTTTGTGCTTCGTTAGAAATTGCTTGAACATCTTTGCCCAGCTTTGAAGTAGTGAAATCTACCATTGATTCGAGAGAAGTCGCACAATACTTGTCTTCCCCTTTCATTGCAGGCACCTCGCATTCTGCTATCGTTTCCTTAATAATTCCAGCATCTTGTGATTGTGGATTCAGTGAGTATTTGTTCAAAATTTCAGGAACAGATTTTGACGAGAAGGGAATCGAATTAGCAACCTGGCGGGGCAGGAAAGCCGTAGTACTTTTCACTGATTCAACAAACTTCATATTCATGCTTGAGCCGCGATTGAGGTCCATTTTCAAGAAAAAAACTTTCACTTTTGGGTCAATATGGACATCTTCAGTAGGATTTCCACAATACCTTTTGAAACGGCAATAGTCATTATATTTTTTCAACCTGAAATTGCCCCTTTCCGGCCACTTCCCTGTATTCATTGGATGAGCAACAAATTAGTACAACATATAAATCCGGCCAGCTTTTATTTCTGGTAATGGACTACAATGTCCCTGCGCAAATTCTTCCAGCAATATCCCCATTTTTAAGATCCTTGTCATATGCTTGCTCATGATTAATGGAAGAGTAAAATTATTAAAAGAAAACCGTGTTAGCTCTTTCCTTTTCTTTTTTTTAACACGGTACAAGAAAACCCCTGTAATTATTGAAGTACTTTTTCTTTTTGCATTGTTTTAAGTGAAACTAGAAGTTTTCTATTATAATTTCTCCTTTTTTTGTTTAAGGTTTTTGAACTTGATGAGTGTCTTTCAATTCCCCCAGAATCTAAGGGAAACAAACAAAGACTCAACTCGAGCAATAGAAGCACAGTAAATGGTAGATATAGGAAAGGACCATTTCTGAGACAAACCATCTTTTAGCAGGTCTCTAACAGCTTTGGGCATAGGAGTGTTTGGAAGCTTGGATTTCCAATAAGCTTCAAGATCTGCATGGTTTGCGCCAACTCCTAGCTGAAGTATATTTCACGATACGGAAAAAGAGTTATGCAGTCAGTTTGTACACCATCCAAAGTGCGAGCAAATTATCTATCTAAAAATTAACGTAGCTTAACTTTTTCAGTAATGTATACTCACAAAAAGAAAAGAGAGAAAGTAGAGAAGCTTGAGAAATTCCATAATAGTTTATGCGCACGAGCCACGGTAGGCTGCTAGTATGCAAGACGGAGTGAAGATAGTACTAAAAGCCAATATATTTGAGCGAGATGGCACAAGAAACTTGGCAGCTTTATTTATAAGCGGAAGGGCCAAGTGCGATATCCAATTGTTTGAGAGGGGGAAAGTTTTGATAGGTTGGCAATACTATTCATGGTACGACACCAATCAAGTTTTAACATGCACCTTAAGTAGGACTGTGCTAACCAACTAATCTTAGAGTAGCTGGCCTCTAAGAGAGTCTTAAGGCTCTACTTGCGTAGGCACTCATCTGGACTGATGATGGTTGAGTCCTTAACCCGACCTGGATCTAATAAATTTTTTGGGTTTGGATTGAAAAATAATTTCGATATCCAAATTCTGACATGTTTACTCTAACAAAAAAAATGGATCGGATACGAAATATAGGATTTCGACCCGTATCTAAACAATATATTAATAATTTAAAATATAAATATTTTTAAATACATTTTTTTACCAAATTAATAATTTAGTAATGGCTTTATAGATTGATTTATGGTTAGTTTTGGATTGACTATTGTGAGTTATTTGTTACTTAGTTTTATAATTTGATTTGTTTAAATTGAAAGATTGGATTTGTGATTGATTTTAGATTTAATTTTGAAATATTTAAATTTAAACCTTTTTTTTCAGGGTAGACCCGGACCCTACTCGGGACCCGTCGGACTCGGTTTCTGGACTCTAAAGTCAAAACCGAGTCTACTACATAAAAGCAGGTTCAAGTTCAAAATTTTCAATTCCAACCCAAACTCAGCCCGTTGACGCTCATATGAGCCCCCTCCCCATCCTCCCGGATCTCTCCCTTGGCCCTGTTGGCTCACCCCCTCCCCATATTATAGAGTAGAAAAAAAAAAAAAAAAGGATTGTGCTTCTTGATAGAGAGTGAAGATAATACTGACGGCCAAGATACATTAGTGAGACATCACAGTAAGTGAACTTAATCATCACCTAAAATCAAATGTGCACCTAAGAAAACTGTCATCATCTCTACTATTCATGGTACGACACCAATAAAATTTTGACATATATATTTTCTCTAAACACGCACCTTAACTACGATTAGGTTTCTTCACAGAGAGAATGAAGATAATACTGAAGGCCAAAATATATACATTAATGAGATACCAAAAATTGGCCGCAATTTTTAAATAAGTGAACTTAATCATGACCTAATATTAAATGTGCACCTAAGAAAACTGTCATCATCTCTACTATTCATGGTAAGGCACCAATAAAGGTTTGACATAGTTACTCTAAACATCCACCTTAACTACGATTAGTTTCTTGACAGAGAGAGTGCAGATAATACTGAAGGCCAAAATACATTATTGAGATATCACAGGAATTTGGCCGCTTTTTTTTTCTTTTTTTAAAATAAGTGAACTTAACCATCACCTAAAATTAAATGTGCACCTAATAATAGAAAATATTTGAAATATTTCCTTAAAATATTTTTTAATTATTTTTTTATTTTACACATCACATCATTATATATTATTTTATAAAATTCTAAAAACTTGCAATTCAAACAGGGTTTGAGGCTGCGCTTATAAATTGGCACAGTCTTTGACCCCACTCATAAATGTAGTAGGAAGCATTAATGCGAGCGGAAAATATCAAGGGACATCCTAAAAGGTGATTGGCTTCACCATGTGTTTGGATATGTATTATGAAAAATTTCTCGAGATTCTTTAAACATATTTTTTTTGAAACACTTTTAACTCTCATATATATCATATTACGAAACATGTGCTATGACAAATAAAAAAAAATCTTTCCCAAGTAATATTCAATCAAAACACAATAGTTCTTCTACCTAAGACGATCCAATAATCTGCTTATAGTAGGTCATGATTTATCCACCCTACACTAGAGGTGGCAATATGGATAAATGGTTTATAATTGGTTTTGACTTAATGGATGACGGATGAAATTTATCCAATCCATTTAGATCCATTTATTCCATTTAATAAATGGATCTAAATGGATTAAATAAAAACCAATTATCCATTTATAATCCATTTATATATTTTGGTTACTTTTTTTTTTTGTATTACTATTTCTTGTAATATGAAGATACTTGTTTATGTACTTGTAAATTTTAGGTGTATTTGGATGAGAAAAAGGACAAAATACTTAGATTTTATATGTGTGTGTGTATTCTTTATTACTCGTCAGATATTATATTTTTCATTCCATAAAGTAAGTGTACATCAATATAAATCAGAATTGTTCAGTCTTTGTTCTTCTCCAGCCACATATTATAATCTTTTTAACATTTCTATAGACGCTTTTATCTCCAAACGATCCAAAATAAAATGTCTATGATAGACGTGAAGTCAATAACTTGAACAGCCTTAATTTTCTTTCGTGAGTGCCTGATATATCAATTAAGCACGACAAGTCGCAATTTATTACTACTACTAAACTGGTCCAAGTCAAAGAAGAGGATAAGGATGAGGTCTTTAATCTGTTACTTACAAGTGTAAAAGTAGAAAAAGAGAAAAATTAATAATAATAATGATGATCCACCGCACGAAAGGATAAACAATGAAGATAAACCAAAGACACTAAAAAAGGCTAAATGAAATGAAGTGAATGTGGCCAAAATACCACAAATCTGATCTCATTAAATTGCCTCAACAACGTGTCACATTCGGCCTTTGCTCTCTCTCCAATTTTGCAGTGTACAACTATTTCCAATGCTTTGCACTAAAATGAATCCCGGGGTAAAACATCGTCAGATTATGTGGTTAAATTTCAGGATTTACCGAAAAATCCCAAGAATAAGTAGACAGAGAAACTAATAAAGGTGGCTAAGATTACTGGTAGTGCAAAATATTTACTGGGACTTTCTTTTTTTTTTTAATCGTTATTATTAGGTAAATACACATACATGTGTGGGTGCAGTTAATATATTGTTAAAAGTTAGTTGGTCCCGTTTTGTTTGTGTGCGGGTCTGAGTCGGTGACTCTCTCACTCTATGTATGACTCGCTGCTCAATAACGTGAAGAAATATATGGTTTTAGTCATTTCCTTTCCATTTCTTTTATTTGATTTTTAAGTAAATGGATATATATGGTTTTTATAGATAATTCATATAAATCCATTTAATTTAATGGTTTTACTTTGGTCAACCATTTAAAACCAATACTATAAATGGATAATCCAAATCCATTTAATTATGGATTATATGGATGGATAAATAGATTTCAATCCAAATTGCCACCTCTACTACATATAGTGAGTGCGCTGCCGTGGTTCCGTCAGCGCTAAATTAGCTGAAAGGTAAGGATAGTAAGGTGAATGTTAATCGCATTCTATTTTTTTATAATGACATTCTCATTATCTTTTTTAAGCATATGATTGTTGTTCATCAGACTATATAATAATAAATATAATGAGAGTACCGCTATTTAAAAAAAAAAAAGTGGAGTACAATTAATGTACATATCCCAGATAGTAATCCCCAAAAAAGTATCCAGCCTTATACATGAGGAGAAAAAAATAAAGACTTTACTCTCCTGGACGTTAGGCCGCTAAACTGCTACGCCTTCAACTAGGTAGACGGAGCATTTTACCTAATTTTCAAACACTCCAACTATCAAAGGATTTTCCCATCTTAATTTTCAATGTTTGTATACCTTATGTGCTTTTATTCATTCATTGTTTGTCCTTTTAGGTAATGAAAATGGGAAGGTAGGTTACTTGTTTTTAGCTAGACAAGGTGCTTTATGCTAATTATGGATGAAATTCTTCCCATGATTTTGGTCACATATTAAACGCTCCATTAGTTTTGTACTTGATGTGCATCTGGGAGTGGAGATGTCTGGATAAAAAGTATGATTAAAAGGTGAATCTAGCAAAGAGGATATTACAAGGTAGGGACAAGGTTCTGATCGTCATGGAATACATGTTTCTACTAATTTCTTCATCAGTTTTTCAGTTGTATGCACAAGGCTTGCCATCTGACAGGCCGTGTTTGTATTGTCATTTTTTTCTCAAAAAATTTTTTACGGTTTTTTTATTAATATATTTTTCAATCATTTTTTTATTTCACATATAACAAATTATTACAATACATTTTTCTCAAAAATTTCGTAAACTAGCAATCCAAACTGCACTTTTTATATGCTTATACATGATGTCCAAAGTATAGAGATTTTGATTACGGGAATCTTCAAAAAGGCCCTGCAGGTATCTCTGAATTTCAAGATATGGTGAATGGGAGAGAATGATGGGCATTATCGCACCACTGGGACTTACGTCGGGACCATAATTTAAGTTTTCTTGCAAATTGAAATAGACACCTGAAGACGTAGATATTCCCAATTACGTGTGAAACTTTTTCTTCTTGGGTTCCAATTTGTATCTTTTTAGAGTAGGAAAGAGGAATCTCTTATGTCTGATCCCTTGGTCGCCTCCTTATCTGTGGTTTAAATTGAACATGGATCATAATGCGTATGCTCAAGGGTTGCAATTTCTATTTTGTGACATATTGTTTAAACATACACCTATATATGTTATATTGGCATTGGAAAATGTAAGTTACATGAAAAAATGTCGTAACTTATACTGTGATATAACTGTGTATAGATATATATCAACTACCTATACAACTATACATATTTAAAGATATCTGAACACTAAAGAGTACATATATCAATTCATAGTCTTTCTTCTAAAATTTTCTTTTTGTAGCAGGTGAGGAGTGGGATTTAGGCACCGTTTTGATTGAGGGAATGGGAGAAAAAGGAATGGAGAGGAATTGGAGGAGTTTGAGTTTTGTTGTTTAGATTTATTTTTGATGAGGGAAAGGAAAGGATAAGGAAAGAAAGAGTATAGTTTTTTTTTTTTTTGTTATTAAGTAATGGTTTCCACCCAAAAATGGGCAGAAATAGAAGGAATAAAACTAAATTAATTGAAATAATTTATTTTTTTTTAAAATATCATTTTTCGCTACCTTTTCCAGTAAATTAACACTTGATATTTTCTTTTCCTTTCTTTTCCTTCTTAATCCAAACAAAAATTT